CCGATGTCCGAGTCTAGAAGCTAAACTTTTCTCGGATTTGGCTTTACAAAAACGTAGACTCGTAGGTTCCTTCTCTGCAGTCTGACATATTCTTTCAAATAAAAATTAAATGTATAGAATGAAAGCCTACAGAGAATTCCAGTTTGCCCGCAATGAGCTGTATTTGACCCATGTTTGTTCAATATCTCCCGATAACGTTATGATATAGTGCTGAAAACTTCACCATAAGAGTACGCCTTAAATATGTAAAATTTTACCTGGACCTAATGGACAATCAGTTTTTAAATGTTCTTTCAATTTTTTAAGCGTTGTAAATTGGGTTTTTCCACGACAACGATGACACTGTACAAATGCTTCTGTACGTAAACGTGTATTAATTTCTTGTTCTTGTTCAGGTAATAAAGAATCTGTTGCAAATTCAATATGCTAATAAACAAAAAAAAAAGTTTTTTTTCTTCCTTGTTTTTCAATATAAAATTTATTACTTCTCGCATTCTAGATCGAGCTAATTCAGCTAATTCACTAGTTATATCAATAGCACGTGGAGATCGCATAACAACAGATTTTTGTGTATCATTCTAAAACAACAAAATCTTTTTTTATATAAAAAAAATTAACCAATTATTATCTATATACTTTTCCATGTTGATCATTCAATATAACTTGATTATTATTCATTGTTGGAGTTAATGATAAACCAGAAGGATTTATATGTGTATGTTTTGTATATGGAGCTATTGGTGGTGTTGCTCCATCAGATTTTGTTTTTGGTGGTCGACCACGTTTACGCTTAAATTTGAAATAATAGTAATAATAATAATCATTTAATAATAAACTAAAAAAAAAGCAAACATTTACTTTTGGATCGGAATCACTTAAATCTGATTTAATTATTGGTAATGACATTGCTTGATTAACCATTGTTGATGGAATACTATAAGTATCAATGCCACGTGGTGATATACCTGATGCCATAGCAATCATTGGATTGATCATTTGTGTTTGTTGTTGCTGTTGTTGTTGTGTTTGTGCTAAATCATTCGAAATTTTCTTTTTTTTTTTAGATTTTTTTGAATTGGATGTTCCACCAGATGTTGTTGAAATAGCTGGTTTACGTGAAACATCAATTTTATCTGCAGATACAGTGCCACCATCTTCCGTACCCTTTTAAATAAATAAAATTTTATTTCACATAAAAGAAAAAAGAAATTTCTTGTTTTTTCAACTCACATGTCGTGCTAAATGTGTACGTAATGAACTTCGATCAGCTAATTCACTTCCACACATTAAACAACGAAAAAAAGCTTTTGGATATGGTGATTTTGTACATGAATTATATAAATGATAACGTATGCCTTCTTTTGAAGCAAAATCAACTGTACAAAATGGACAAACAAAACGTCCATCACGAAATGTAGCTTGTCGAATAACATTAAAATGTGGTAAATCAGGATAAGAAAAAAACCCTGATTGATGTCGTATATGTGGCCATGCTTGTGGTATAGGTATTAATACTAACATTTCACGATGAATTTCAGCAATATTATGTGGATTTTTATTTGTTTGTTGTTGTTGTTGTTGTTGTTGTTGATCATCATTTGTTATTGTTGTTTGTTGTTCTGTATCCATAGGAAGTGAATTTGATGATGAAGGCATATGAGGTAATTGTTGATGATCATCGGATAATTGTACAGATGTTTGTTCATTTGTTGGAACATTTACAATAGTTTCATCATTAGTATTTTCATTGACATTTGTACCAGCACCAGTAGCAATTAAATGCATTAAACCACTTGAATCCATTGCATTCTGTTGTTGTTGTTCATCAGTTGGCCTAAACAAAACAAAAAAGAACAAATAATGAGTCAATCATTTGTTTCTTTTGTCCTTTACCATGGCCAATCATTGTTAGTTGTTGATTCTTGTTGTTGTTGATCGGATGATATGTGTGATTGATCAACGACTGAAGATAAATTATTTGTAGGCGAATCTGGATCAGCCATAGGTTATTGTTTCTGTTGTTTTTACAACATCCGTGTATTGTTAATTTCCTAATAAACGATCGCATAATGACAAGTATAACCATTTAAGGATAATATTAATCTTAGCGCTCGATATTTGGGGATAAGATTTGGTCATTTTTCTTCTTTTTCTCTCTCGTTTTTTTTCTTCTTTTTTTTTTCTTTTTTTTTTCCTTTCACTACTTTTCCGAAAATCCAGAACACAAGAGAAAAAGAGAGAGAGAGAGAGAGAGTGAAGAAGAAGAATAAGAAAAAGGCCCGCATTTTCGCCCCTACTTTTTCTCCTCGCCGCTTTGCTTGTCTGTCCCTCTTTTTTTCACTCTCACGCACAGATGTTAAATATCCTTTTTCTGCCTTGCTTCAGACTGTCATCATCACTTGCAGTATGTGCTTCTTCGTTCGTCAATTCTGCGCTCTTCTTCGCGGAGGAAGCCGAGAGAGGGAGCAAAAATAAGATGGAGAAGAAGAAACAATACAAGCGAAACAAAAAAAAAAAGAACGTCAACTATTCGAAAGAATAAACGGACGGATATATCGAGAAGAAAAAATAAAAATGGAAAATGGAGAAGAAAGAGGAAAAGAGGAATGAATGAATGTCTAACGAGAAAGAATAACATTATTCTGTAGCCATTTTTAATTATTTTAAGACTCTGTTAAAAATAAATACGAAAATATTTTCAAATAAAATTTTTTTCAATGATAAAATTGAAAATTCAAGTGTTTTTTTACATATTTTATTGAGTAGAAACAAGATAATGTTATTCTGCATAAGTGCTCAACATTTTGATTAGACGAAAATAAACGATTAGAAATGTATGATGAGTCATCAGTTTTGCTATTTCAGATACAGATAATGAAGGAGCACATACAAAATATTTTGTAGAAAAATCGGATATTTTGTTTTTGAAGTTATACATAGGTACGTTTAAAGAAGACAAAAATTTTAATATTTTGTTAAATATTCGAATGTCTTGTTATTAATAATAGCATAACGTTGGTTTTCTAATGCTTATTTATTATTTATGAATAGATATCTTAATCATTCTTTTAGAATGAATACAAAACATTTTATCTTTTAGTCAAATCAATTATTTAAATGATAAACTGAATTTTAATATAGAAATCTTGTTTTTGAATTTATAAGTACTGTATTGTTGAAATAAATCATTCGTTGATCCTTTGAAATGTTTATTGTTATTTGAACTATTATAAATTGACAATAAATTTATTTTGAATTAATAGTCAACAATTTCAATGAAAAGAATTTGTGTTTTTCTAAATGAATGTGATATATGTGTGTGTGTTGATGATAAACATCTTTTAATTATTTGACGAAAGTTTTTATATTATCATATTACGATTGTATATTTATTGTTAAAGATTTATTGCAAAATATTTGATTTGATATACCTGTTGTGGACATATATAACTTCAAAAATGAATTTCGACGATAATCCAAATATTGATAATATTTAGAATTATCATTATTTGATGATGTTAAATTTAACTAACAATATATCATAACTGAAAGTGTTTTTTTTATATTGAATATTTAATAATATGGTTTCGTATCATTGTGACAATAAGTATCCTTTTATTCAGACATATCAAATAGCAACATTTTGATGGGATTTAAACAATAAATCGTATTGATTTTAATAATAACATCAATATGTAAGTTTGATTTAGTATCCATTGACTCAACAATTCCCTATGACATACATATAGATATGATAATGATTTGTGTTCTGTTGAAATCTATAATTGATATTACTTTTTTTTGTATCATTTTTTTTCCTCAGTCGAACAAGTTTCGCATCAAACTGTAATATATCTATTGTGCTTGAATACGTTCTCATATTTAATGAAACATAAGGTGATGAAGGAATTATGCATCCGCTCACTTATAGCGAATATAGCAAAAACTTTTCAATGAATTTTCTATCAAAGCTCACAATACTTTTTTAGCAGTATGAGGAGTTAAAGATTTCATAGATACTCTGAAGCAGAAAATGGTTAAGAAAAACTGTCTTTTAAAATTTGACAGACAGGTTTTTCGACAATAGTTCAACATATTTTCTAACAGAAGGTAAAAAGTAAGAGAAACCTGGTTCCTCCTACATTTTAGTCTATGATTGCTGTTTACTTATATGTATTATTCTTTAATGTTACATTTACTCGAACCTGTTTTTTTTCCTTCTTGTTTCTTTTCTTTCTTTTTTTTCTTCACATCCATTTATTACCCTAAGAAAAAAAAACGAAATAAATGTTATTATTATCGTATCGAAAACATAGTTCTGTTTTCTTTTGTTCTTAATAGATAGACACGTGTCCTTGGTTTTTCTTGTATCTATGTCTATAGTGTGTTGGCCTTGCATATTGTCTAACCGAACAAGATCTTCATATTTAGTGTCATGAGTATACGAGCTAATAACACATCAAAAAAAAAAAAAAGAAAATAAGATCGACGAGTATTGCTTTCTTACTATTTCTATAATAATAAAGAAAAAAAAATTGATCATCCGACAGGAGACTTTCAGTGCATTAATGGTGATGATATCGGAAAACAGAACAGAAAAAAAAAGAGAAGGGCCATTGCGTTCGATTACTTTGCACAACACAGAGAAAGAGTATCCATCTCGTGTAAAGTCATAGCGTCAATTGTTATTTGTTGTTGATATGTTGTTGTTAATGTCCTTTTTCGATTTTATGTCTGAGTAGGGTAGAATAATAAAAATTCACTTCAATATAATGTACCGACTGTTAAAATTTAAAGGACACATATAGTGATCGTTTTTTTCAATAACATATCTCGATTTATATTGATCTTTCATGTAAACTATTAAAATAAATATAAAATGTAATTTTCAATGAAATTAAATATCTTGGATCATTGATAATCGTCTATTTTTTTCAAATACTTTTTTTCGTTACACTTCATATTTTAGATTGGTATCATCTTGAAATGTAAATATCGAGATGACAACTAACGAACAATTTCAAACTTCGAATATTCAACAATCAAATGGACCTGAAAATGGTGATACAACACAAGAACAAGATGATGAAGAAACAAGACTAACATCTAATACATCTTCTGGACCATCATTACGACGATCACGTTTTTTTCGTTCAAAACGTAAACAACGTTTACAGGAAGAACAACCTAATTCAGTCAACAATTATAATGATGTATCTGATAAACCAGTTAATTCGTCTGAAAGTTCAGGTAAGAGTATTATACATATATTCAATAAAAATGATTTGTTTCTTTTAATATCTAGAACAATCTACTGAAGAAACGTCTGTTGAAAAAATTTTAATAATTGATACCAGTACTCCAAATGAAGTAAAACTAAAACGACGTCCATTTGTATCGCCTCCACCTTCTCCTCCATCTACGGATGACAATGATGAAACAGACGCAAGTACAATTTCAAAAGAAACTCAATTTACAACACAACTTGAAGATCTTGATGCTGAACGTCAAGCTTATTTAACAAAAAAAAACAATAATGACAAATCATCATCTACCCAATTAAAACCATCTGCGCCTGCAATTTTTTCTGGTTATCAAAGAAAAAAATCACAATCAGTTAAATTAACTAATTCTGATCGAATTGATGCATATCAAAAGAAAAATGTACGTTTTGCTGATGATTTTGGTCTTGATTTAAGTCAAATTAAAGTAATTAAATCTGATGAATTACCTAATGTGCCTAGTGCAGCATTTAAAGATTTACATATTAATCGTGATGAAAATTTAGTATCATTTTATCAAGAACGTATGAAATTAATAACTTATCTAGAACAACAATTTGAAAATCCTATTCATGCTCAAGGTTTTGATGATCGTGTTGCACGTCATAAAATTGCACTAGAACAAGCTAGTAAGTCTGTTGAATAATGTTATTTAATTTGTTTCTATCAATACATTTCTAATGTCAATATTTAATTAAGATTTTTTAATTATAATTTAGATGCTATTGATAATCGAATATATGGAACAGTAAAAATTATTTCATTCGGTTTTAATAAACGAGTTAAAATTCGTATCACAACAGACAATTGGATGACTTATCAGGATCATGATGCAACATATATTGTAGATTCACATGATGGTACACATGATAGATTTACATTTACATTAACTATTGATCGAGATCGAATATGTGCTGGAAATAATATTCAATTTTGTATTGGTTATGAATCATATGTTGGTCCAGAATATTGGGATAGTAATTATAACGAAAATTATCGATTTGTCTGTGTTTCAAGGACTATACCTGATTATAGTAGTTAGGATATTTTCTATTACTCTTGTATTTTTTAGACAGGAAAGAAAAAGAAAAGAAAGCTAGATTAACCTAAATGAATAGCACGATTAACCATAGTCAAATATGCTTTAGAAAATCATTAACACATATAGTTATATATATTCTATTTATTTGTCCGCCTCTCAAAACTCATCTTTGTTCTTTTTTGTTTTTAAATAGAGGAAGAAAATTAGATAAATGTTTTATCGTTTTTTATTTTAGAAAATATTCTCTGTCTGTTAGTTTCATTATATTTATTTATTTTTTTTTATTTTTTCTGTCCGGTTTATCCTTGCGTTAGTATGTTTTACCGTGCTTGTTTGTCACATGTACAGATTTGTTTTTTTTCCTTTGTATACCTAGCAGGGTTTTTTTTTCATTTGTTTCGTATATGAAATATACAAGAAAACAAAAACAAATATTTGAACAATGATTTTAGAAAAGGAAACTAACATTTTTGTTTTTGAACATTTTTTTACTATTTTTTTTTTGATTACGATGTTTATGTTTGAGATAATTCTCCAAAAAATTTAGAAACAAGTAATTCATCTATGGATGATATGTATTTAATTAACAGATATATTTGATGACTTTTCTGAAGAAAATCCTTCGATTCTTTCAAGCAATGCAATTTTATTAAAGTAAAAAAATCATCAGATCAAGGAAAGTAAATACATCGTTTGTCAATAGAAGTTTACACAGACGATAATGTTCATCAAATACATAGAATTTCTTATTATTTTATTACATTATCGTAGGTACATCTGTTTCAGCAAATTCCGTACAATAGTAAATTCTTCGCTGTCTTTCGAAGTAGGCATTGAAGAATTGAATATTTCATCTCATGTGAATTGTGTTACACTAAATAGAGCGAGACCAGTAACACTAAAATATAGTAAAGTTCTAATTAAACCAAATCTATGAACTATATTAATAGTGTTTAAGTATAGTAGTGAGCAGATCTCGATCTGCACTATTGTTGTTTGATAGGAATTTTCTTGCTCGTACAATTGAGATGCACACTAACGGAATAGTATATATGTATATCAGTGGCATTATACTAATCGTGTTAGTCGCATTGCTTCAACTCTATCCTACATATGATGCAAATTACATCTGCAGGATCAATAGCAATATTAGAAGTTTGACTAGGCAGAAATTGACTTAATCCATAACCAGAAAAAGAACTCAAACTTGACTCATCTGTTGTCATATTCTATATATCCGCTATTGGATCACCAGAACTTGTTGTTCTTTAGTAATCTAAAATACGAGCAATCCTTGTTCTGCATGAATGTTAGCATAATAAATTAAAACGATGGAGGTTAATAGAAAGAGAGTACACCTAATGAAAGAAAAGTTCTTTTGGAAACATTTTCATTTTCTGTCAAATAAAACTGAAAATTCTTAATCATTGAAGAATAGTCATTGAAAAAAAAATGAATGAGTCTTAAGTAGTCGATGATATCATATTAGCTAAAAATTTAGTATGAACGATTTATTTTTTGTTCGATCACTGAAGTACTTTAGTCGTCTCATATATTGTGAAGATCATTGTATAAGATATCACTAAGAGAACAACAACATCAGTTGTTAGTAATTTGGCGATAAATACTTATTCTATTGAATCTTTTAAGAGTTTCAAAAAATGTATGCCTATAAATATGTAGAATTAGATAAATGAATATGTAATATCAATGAAGATATATTTATCTTACTTTGATAATACTTTATTTATTAATGAGTTTTTTCAAGTCGCCGAAATTCGTGTCAATATCGATTAGTATGGATATTGATATTGAATAAAAACAAACAAAGAATTCAGTAATTATTATCTTTATATAATAATCATATCATAATATTTTATATGTACTCTGTCTGTCTCGTCAACAATGATCTATCGCTGACTTTTATCAATGTAAACAAGTAATTATTAACATCAAAATATCAAAGAATAGAAGTATGGCTTACTCATCAAGAGAAATACAATCGTATAAAACATGTTTAAAATTTTCAAAAATAATGAGTTGTATTAGAGTCTGCGAGACTAAGTTTGTAGATGGAAGCTATCTACTATTAATAGTGAACATTTTCACAAGGGAGAATTGATTTTTTTTAAAATTTATTTAAATTCACGCAATTTAAACATGTTTGATATTTCAAATAGGTACCGATTATTTCATCTAAGATATAATTAATCCTATGTTGTTAATTAATTTCAAGTTGTCACGTGATCAACGTTAAATTAGTATTTTCGAGTATTTACGCTATAACTTTCATTCCACTAGAACGATTTTAAAATGTGTTTTTTTTAATTCTATTTTCCGCGTAGTCCGCCACATTCATATCTAACTTCATGTTTTTTTAATCTTGTATCGTTTTTAAGTTACAGGATTGACAGTTAGAAAAAAATGACAGTTGTAAACGAGACATATGTAAAAGCAGATGCTTGTCTAAGAAAAGAAAGAAACACTCGATCAAAACATATGATTCACTGGTCTATACATCTTTCTGTTCGTATATTTCTGCTTTTGACACTTTGTTTTTTCATGTACAATGACACAAAACCGTCACTTCTGCAGGCTAGGAAAGACTTGAATAGAAAATCAATATACCAAATAATTGAGAACTTTTTCATATAAAAATGTTTACAATTTCTTATTTTTGTATTAGAGAAAAATGATTGAAGTAGCTGAGTATAGTTACTCACCTTGTACAGTAACGTTTTCAAACTTTCAGATTAAATAGAATTCAAAAAGTTCTGTTACCAATAACAATTTCAATTCTCTAAATTTTACTGTTTCGAATATATTCAAATTATATCACAAAATATACAATGATGTTTTTTCTGCAGATATTTCCAGTTAAATCAACTCAAAACTACTCTTGTCAGGTATAATTTAACTCAGAAGAATTCGATGAACAAATCTAAATATATTATGAAGTGTTCTGGATTATTCACTTTCCATACAGAACTACAAATATGATTCGAGTCTTTTGATCGAATGAATTCAATTCAATGATTGAATTAACTAGAAATTGAACTCTACACTATGTATCTCGCTTAATACTTATTGAAATATTGGCAAACTTTTGCTATATAATATAGGTACAACGTATAATTAAATTTGCTGCTCAAAAATTGCTTATGTCTATTTTCGTTTTTTCGTACCATTTGTACTAAAAAGTTAATTCATTCAAATACTTAATTAAGACTAAACTGGTTCGATGTTTTCTACGGATTTGCCTAGAAATTCATTCAAGTCTTAGTATACTTGATCGAAAATATACGAGTGATCAAATCCTGTGTGTATCCTTCCATGACACTGACACTGTCAAGATATAGAAGAATTCTCTGTTATATCATAATATGCTCATTACTTTATATATTTCTTGTATGTATACATTGATCAAGTACATCAGGAGTTGAATGAGTTTCCAGGGAAATTCATAGAGGACATCATATGATAAAACTAATATTTCATTTTTTTTAATAATTGAATGACTGTAAAATCTGAAAAGTGTACTGGAAAACATAAGTTTAGAGCAGCTGTATTGTTAAGTTTTTTCCTCGATAGTAATAGCTAGTAAGAATCTAAAACGAAAATATTTGTATAGCTGAAAGGGTTGCCTATCGAGATTGGTAGACCCAAAGACTCTAACGAAATTCCTTAGATGAAAGTCTACGGACAACCAAGACCTCCAGAACCATATTTCTGGCTTCCATTCGAAGTTTTTGGAGAAAGATTTTATTTGATAGAGGAAATAATTCTGAACAAAATGATACGTATCCAACCTTTCCATGGCCTTCCTTCATCGAACTGCATTTAATTTACAGAAGGTCCAAGAAGCATTTTTCTCTTCTTTCTATTGAACATTTCAATGTTTTTGCCGTATTTGAGGCTTTCTGAGCCTTCCATAAATTGAATGCAGTTCAAAGAAGGAAGGTCATAAAGAGATCAGAGATGTATCATATTGCTCAGAATCATTTTCTCTATCAAATAAGATCTTTTTTCAAGAACTTTGAATAGAAGCCAGAAAGCTGATTTTGGTGGTCTTAGTTATCTACAGGCTCTCATCCAAGCAGTTTTGCTGAAATCTTTGGATCTACCAATCCTAATAGAGGATTCTTTCAGCTACACAAATATTTTTTTCAGATTCTTGCTAGCTATTACCATCGAGAAGAGAACTTAAGAATACAGTTGCTCTAAACTTTTGTCCACCACTATTTATTAGTTTTTTTATGAGTTGATTTTATTTTATTTTTCACTAGATTTAAATTGATCTAGGGTGGAGATGTGCGGGACCAACATTTAGTCTTGGTAACCAGGACTACGAGAAAAAAGTTATTCCAACTGAATCTAAAGGTTAAGGTGAAATATATTATAGTTTTAGGCGAATTATCTTATAAATCATATCAATCAGAACATAATTTAAGAAAGCTGACTCAAAAAAGTGCTAGTCATCGACTAAATAAATCAAAAAAAAATGAGTAGCGGAGAAATTGTTTTAGATATGATACGAATAAATTCTGAAATACTTTTCTCTAAACCGGAATCAGATTAGATTTGTTGAGATGATAATCGGAACCACTAGAAAAAAAGATTATCGGAACTAAAGAAAATTGATCCCGCGCGTCTTTAATCGGGGATTGTATAAGTGATTATTCTAATTTTTCAATTTTACTGCATAATTTATCGCTGATTTTTCATTGATTTCATTTCTCTATAATATTTCTTACATAAGTATTACTATTCCAAGGATGAATACAATATATGATATATAAACAAAAACTTTCTTCTATGTCTTGAAGTTATTTATAATTGTTTACTGCAATAGCAATTGAACTGATAAATTTTGATTTTTTTTTAGAAAACTGAAAAGTTCTTGTAAGAACTTAGTTTTTAGAAATATAAGTTGACGACAGTATCAAAAACAATTAACTATTACTAATACATTTCTACTGTGCAAAAAAAAGAACTTATCTTGATTCATTTTTTGCAAAGTTTCTTATCGGTTCTTTTTTATAGAAAAAAATATTTCAAAAGGTCATGCAATAAAGTCGTACGAGGATATCATTCAATGAATAAAAACTAAAAAAAACAGAAATGATATATTTAGCGATGGTCCATGGAATTGAATGCATTCTGTATTTTCTATGAAATTCACAAGATCGATGTGCAACAATTCAAACTATAAAAAGCATTCAATGGTTTCTTATTCAATTAAACTATTCTAAATAAAAGTATTTCAATGAATTGAATATAACAATCAACGGTTCACTGTAATGTAACTATCGTATGGTAAGCAATAAATGATTAAATATTTATAATATTCTATATCTTGCTTCATACTGATCGTATTACATTAAAGGAAGCGAGATAGATAAAATACCTCAATATACAAATGTCCAAACTGAATCAATAGCATTTGAATCTTAGATATAATTTTAAAAAGATTTCAGATGTGAAGATCAGCATTTGTTTAAAATTATATCAAGTGTGCAATTGAAGTATCTGTAATTAAAATGTTAGACAAATCAGTAGAAACACTTGTTTACGTCAGCTATATTCTAACTTACACTACTAAAATTTAAATAGGTAGAACAGGAAAAAAACCAACACAGACAGTAATTTAATCATGAGTTACCAACAATGGCATTTTGTATAACGTTTGGTATGTAAATAGAATATGTAATTATTCGATTGCTTGGAATATAGGCAGTTATTGTTCTATATATAATCATGTATATACTTCTACTAGCAAAAATACACTTGTATTTTATCGTAACGAAAACTAATTTTTTATGAATTATTTATTTTTCTGATTGCACTCTATAGTTATTGTGCAGTTGTTATTGTCATCGATATATCTCGAAATAACTATGTATTATTAATTGCTTATTAATATTATATTATTTTATCCTGATATATCATTGACGTTGTTATTCTGTGTGAGATAAAAATAAAATTGTTATTTTTTATAACTTTAGACGAAAATTTTCATTTCTATTATTTTGTTTTATTTTACAGTTCTATACTAATTCAAGTCTATTATTGTCATTGAAAAACATGCAACGGTTAGATTAATATAAAGTGATGAATGCGTATTATTTAGTTTCATGATATAGAACATAGAATGATTGATAAAATTAAGTACAGTTTTCTTTTTTTAGACAGCTAGTAAATATAAGCCAACTTCTATGATCAAATGGCATTAATGAAGTTTTAATAAATGAGAGTGTTGAAAATATATAAAAAGTGATTTAGACTGTCTGTTGAGTTCTTTAAATTGAGATTGATTTTATTGCGAACAGAATTATATATTTTCCTTAACGTCATAAGTTGATGTAAACAATGATAGTAATCAACAGTTAACGAAATGATTTGTATCCAAGGCTATCGACTTATGTTATCGTCATAATTGAAGTGGATGTACTTGAACGTACAATATAAAAGAGATGACAACTTTTATTAGATAAGTATAGTACTTGCTGTTACCTACATTGCTAAAAATATGCAAAAATCCAATGATAATGTTATTCAATTAAAATTTTTTACATTCATTAAAAGAAATACAAAATTATTGAAATGAAAATATAAGCACTTTCGATACAATTCTCAAAAGCATTTTTCCTTTTTATGTGGATTCGATATTCAAAATCAAATTCAAATATTTGCTGCAAACATAGTATTCCCGCTGACGATATTACTTGTTATTGTTGTACTGCTCTCAATACATGCTATAAAAGCAATCGTGAAAAATACTTTCATGGTAGAAGTACCACCGATTACGCAGTGACTGAACGTGCTTCACATGCTGTCAATTTAAGATATATATATATATATATGCTTTTAAAACATATAGAATGAAACAGAAGTGTTTTATCAATGAGAGTATATCTATAATTTTCGGATGGCTATTGATGAGATGGTATCACACTTGAAATTTCTCTTGGTGGTAATATATAGATAAACATATTAAATCAATGAGAACAATAAAATGAATGTCCTTGTATTAATTGTTGATCATATTTTTGTATTTTTAAAGTATTCTTAAATCAACAATCATGCAACAGTTGTAATTGTTGCAAAATAAACAAACTATTAAAAGCATACAAACACTAGAAGTAAAAATGTTTAACGCTTTCATTAACAGAGAATATCCATGATCTTCGAAAAAGAAAAACTCAATCATTTCTATTGTTGTAGTAATTTTTGAAAATGTGTTGAGTGATGAAAATGAAATACTTTGATTTGTTCTTCTAAATTTATTGCATATAAACTAGCTGAACTTCGTGAAATAAGATTGAAATCTTGCGGAATTTGATTCCATTGTGAAAAAATACAAATACGATATTGAGAAGAGTGTAAACCATATACAACGATGTGAGTAAGTTAATGTCATACTCTCATTGCTTTATTCGTGTATATTAAGCTAAATTTTGAATTGAACAAACAGTTATTCTTTACTTTATTTCTAGTAAGACCATATTTCTACTAATGAAGGAACATTCTGAAGTGATATATTCCGTTTGTTCCCATACTTTACCAATATGCAGAAGATCATTAAAGTAGAGTAATCTCCAAAGATTTTTTGCTCATGTTAGAATTTGATTCAGATAGAGACTTTTTAGTAAATTCCTCCGACAGAAGTGCAGGTTTCCAAAACATTATTTCAACCGAAAACTTTGTACACATGAAGGTCTGAATTGGATCATTTCATATATAAAGTTCCATCAATTTTGGATATCGCATTGTCAAGATATGGATTTCTCAATATACCTTTATCTAATACAGTACTTAAGGGTGCCTTAAAATTTTTTGTAGCTATTGTATAATTTGAAGTAGTGTCTATCTACTAAGTACATTTTGAAACTCAAGAATAATCTTTAAACATTAAAAACTCAAATTTACGTAACGGAAATAGTGAATCGAATTTTTCTTCAACCAACTTTTTCATAAAAAAAGTGTAGAAATGTTCCTGTTTCTTCGGCCTAGTACGTCCAATCAAGCTGAAACTTTCTTTACATATACAATACACTGTTTGGAATGGGTAAGTTTTTTCTGTTTCAAGAAATATTATTGTGCTGATTTTTGGTTGCTCTTACAAAAAAGCCTCTATTAAAAAAAAACATGAGTTTTTAAGGATACTTTCGATTTTCTGGCTTTGTTATTCAAAGGACAAAAAATAAAAAGACATCTACTCCAAAGAGTGTCTAGTAGTCGTAAAAAAATGTTCGGTTCGATCGAATCTAACATTCCGAAGTAATGGGAATGAAAATTGTGGCTATTCTGATCTAACTATCTTATAGAAGACAGCATCCGAGAACTTTGAGCCTATGACAACTTTTGCTCTACTCATCAAGATCTACCTGTTCTAAAAATTCGCAAATTTTCTGATGAGCCATTCCCCAGAAACTTCGGAAAGAGGGAGGTATCCTCAAAGAAAATAGTAGAAATTCATATCTTAGCAATGCGATATCCAAAGCTGATGAAACTTTATATATGAAATAGTCTAATCGAGATCTTCATGTGTACAAAGTTTCAGGTTGAAATAATATTTTTCGAAAACTCGACTCCTACAGGGAGAATCTATTAAAAAGTCGTTTTCTCGATTAAATCCAATCATGAGGTGAAAATCTTTGGAAATTACACTTCTCTAATGATCTCCTGCATATTTGTAAAATATGATGACAAACAGAGTGAATTATTTGAAAATATTTCCTTGTAAATGTAAGAACACTTTGTTTTTGTCTAATCGATATATTTCATCAAGTCATCATGTCCCAAGTTTATCTTACTGGCATAACTCATTGTTAAAGGAAGCAACATGACATGTCATACGTCATCAATGATGATACATAAGTTTTATAATGTCAGTTGACATAATTTCAACTTATTTTTTGTCTTTTCGTATCGACCCACTTTTCTTAATAAACAAACATTTAATAAAAATATTTTTCTTTTCTTGAATTTCATTTCGTCGTACATCCATTCAAAAAACAATTTTCAACGACATCTGTCATGTCTACCTGAGTATTTCTCCTTTGCTATTCATTTATCTATTGATAGTGGCGTCCAAAGAACATTCTCTTGTTTTGTGCGAATCAAAATTCGTATTCTATATTTATTTTGTTTTTATTTTTTTTAGAAGTCTTCACATCTGTATTATTAACTTACCTGTTAAGTGGAACATAAAAAAAGAACACACATCATCTTGATTGCATTATTTGTTTAATATAAGATCTTTACATTATTACAATAAAATGTCAAGATCATCGTCAAATCGTTCAGCTAACAGGTGTGTGAATCATTAAAATATACTAAAAAAGAAAAACTTAGAAAACTAATACATCTGTGGAATTAGCAGTGGATTAAAAAATTCTTCTGCTAAATCTCATCATTATAGATCAATGCCGACTATATTTAAAAATAGTCGATCATCAAAAAAACAACATTCTTTAATTTTAAATAATGCAGATTTTGAAATTTGGTAGGTTTAAATGTTAGTTCATAATTTGCTCATTCGCTATCATCATTTTGTGGGTTTTGTTTTGTTTTTATATGTTATTTATGTTAATTGCAGTATTCTTTTTTTCTTTTTCTTTTTGCTTTACTTAAGTCAAGTACCAAATGAAAGTGAAATGTTTGAAATTACACAACATTCAAATACTGAAGGAAGTAATAATACAAATCAATTAGAAACAACGACATCCGATAATACTCTTACTGATCGACAAGAACAAGTAAAATTAAGAAAGAAAAACAATTCTTTTTTCTTTTATTATTGTTATTATTTTTAGTCTGCAAACGTGTATAACAATTCTCCAACGACATCTCATGACAAATTTTCAATCTCACAATTGAAAACTCGATTGATACCATATAGATATGAAAATACAAAGAAAGATGAAAATGGTCATGACAAAAATCAAGGTTTTCTGTTGATTAATCAAGCTGATGATGATTTGGTTTTAATACACAATGATAATGTTGATCAACAACATACACGTCATTCTGAACCATGTGAACATGGACGAATCGATGAAGATAATGTTGATGTGAGCCAAATTCAATTAATACCAACTACACCAATTACACCTAGTTTATTACCGCCACAACAATCATCACTAATTTCTGCTATATCACCTGTCGTAAATCGTAAGTAAAATTAATTTTAACTATAATTCTTTGATCTCAAATACAGGCTAAGAAATAGATTGTTTAATCATTTTTCGTGAAATGAATTTTTATTATTTGATTACTAATACTTGGATGTTTGCTAGAGGACACGATAGAACATATATATAATGGTATAATATGACTAACAGATCATTAAACTGGATTTATGAAAAGTTTGTGACACAAACTTTTTTGAAGTCATATAATGGTACACATAAGTTTAGAGTAGTTGTATTTTTAAATTTGCCTCTCTACGATAGTAGCTAGCAAGAACTTTAAAAAAAAACATTTGTGCAACTGAAAGGATTCTCTATTAGGATTGACAGGTTTGAATACTCCAACTAAATTGTGTGAATGAGAGTTTGCAAAAAAACAGATTTCTGACTTTCATGTAAAGCTTTTGAAGAAAGATTTTATTTAATAGAGAAAATAATTTTGAACAAAATGATACATATCCGACCTTTCCATGACCTTCCTCTTCATCGGACTGTATTTAATTTACAGAAGGTCCAAGAAGCATTTTTCTCTTCTTTTTATTGAAAATTTCAATATTTTTACTATATCTGACGCTTTTGGACCTTCTATAAATTGAATACAGTTCGATGAAGGAAGATTATGAAGAGATCGAAGATGTAACATATAAAATTTTTTTCTTAAAAGCTTTGAATAGAAGTCAAAAGGTTGGTTTTGAGGATCTTGCTTTTCCGTAAATCCTCATCTAAGCAGTCTTCGGCTTATCAATACTAATAGAGAATCCATTCGGCTGCACAACTATTTTTTCAGAATCTTGCTAGCTATTACCATCGAGAAGAAAACTTAAAAATACAACTGCTCTAAACTTTTGTCCACCACTATATATTTGACATGCATGACAATAGATTTCCTTAACAAAAGATCATTGTTAATAAACTATTTCAGGATCTATGAGAAAATATATTTCTTTTTGTTTTTGACCATCTCATCAAATAGTCATCATGCTAAATATTATCGCTACTGAATATTCAGTTTTATAATGAATCTCTATTTCTTTTTTTAACTAGATGATAAGTAAATATTCAAACAAGAAAAATATACGAAATACGCCGCAGTGATATAAAAATAATCAAGATAAGACAAGACAAATGTCATGAATGCATAAAATGACTCATCATTTGTACTTTTTCAAGAGCTGTCACCTTTTAAAATACTGTTAACTGTGATGAATCATGATCTCTATATGATCATAGTCTGGATGCATAATAAGCATGATTTATTGCATACAAAAAATAGAAAAAAAAAACATTAAAACTGAAAAAAAACAATTAAAATTTCAGATCAAAGGACTATAATAAGCACAGACATTTACCAAAGACACTTCCACTGTATGTATACAATTTAAATCTACATCGGTTCAACAATTCTTAATATCGAAATGAATGAATAGCGATGCTTCTTTTTTACCTTTTCTGTTTCTTTTTACCAACAATGTTAATAACAAGTTTTTCATCATACAATGTCTTCTTCCTAGTTTCTATGCACAAAAGCAAAATAAGAACAACCTCACATAAAATAAAATGACATAACTACTAAATAATCTTATCAACATAAAATAAGAGCAGTAAAATCATCTGTTCTCTTTCATACAGTTTTACAAGGTAAGAACAAAAAAAAATATCAATTTTATATCTTATTGTAGTTAAAATGCAAATCTTATCTTCTGACAAATTTGAACAATGCAATCTCATTAAAAGATTGCTTTTAGAAAACACACGTTCAATTGGTACTGATGTATTAGAAACACACACATACATCATTTTTCTAATAAGTTTATTAAGAGATTGATATGAATTTCTCATTGATTTAATTTTCTTTCTGCAGAAAATCATGAATTTCTTCTGAAATTGATTCTGATGTTGAATTATCAACTTTTACTTTTTTTTTTGAATGAATGACTCGAACTTGTCTAGACCTCAAAATTATATAAAATATTTTATTGTAGAAACTACTCATGTAAAACACCATGAACTGTAAGACACCAAAATAGCATTTTTTCTTAATGGATTTTTCTTGTTTTAGTTTTGAAGTATTTTAGATAAAACAAAAGCTTAATGAGTCATATTCAAGGGCTTAAGAGAGTCTATTCAATTAGTGATTCAAAAGTTTTTCGATGTTTTAGTACGCTGACAGGCAAACCTTTCCATTTTGCAGACATTTCAAATTTCTCGGTACGACTTCATTCAAATCAACTTTTTATGATCAAATATTGAAAGATAATGTTACGACTAACAGGTATATTGAATAATATGGCGTACGTTTTATATTTCCTTTAAAAAATAAGAGTCAATAAATAAGCTTCGGTTATTTCACATCATCCATAATTTGTGTATTATTTTTTCTGGTCAAACGATCTTTTCTGCATATAACTGAAAATAGAACAGCTGAAACCATTAAAAGAAAGAAACTAATATGAAGTCGACCAGATGTTTGTCTAATTAGAAAAAATAAGGATAAATACTAGTTCTTTGAAAACAATTCGATGAGAAAATAATTTATTTCAGTGACTTCAGTTCATAAAATGTCACGATTAATCTCTACACTAACATGTTTTATAGAGTTTACACGATATTGAAGAGCGATTTTCATGATAATTTAGACTTGTTTCATGAACCAGATGTTCAAGCAACACAAGCTGGTGTTGAATGTGCTACACCTATTTATGATGAATCTAATGAACAGGATACACAATTATCAGCAACAAATTCATCTTCATCAACAAATTCATCAAATAATGATCCACAATTGACTGAGATTGATCGGTCAACACTTAGTGATACTGATTATAGTAATTTAGTCTCTATAGAATTTATAAAATTCAATCAATTAAAAAAAAAACATGATTATTTTCTTTTGTTTAGTTCTAGCACAAAAAAGTTGTCTTGAACAAATAACAGGTTTTGAAATAGATTTAATCAATGATCGTCGTGATTATCTACAGGGTTTACAACAAATTGAAAGCGTAAGCTAACAAATATAGATGCATATAACGGGTGTCCTATAATAACTCAGGATAAATTTTCAACGACATTTTTCATATTTTTTTTCTTGACGTAGAAGACTGAAAGTTTTATCACATATATATCTAATCAAGATCTTTAATTTTTCGACATTTTAGCTCTCTAATTAAAACTAGTATCGAAATGCATGAACACGATTAAAATACATGAATTTTTCTACTTGATTTTTGTGACATTTTTATTTCTCGACCAGTGATGTTTATAAACATCTGATAAAAAAATAACTTTATAAGACAAATTTTTTCAAAAATGTAAATTAAACATACTCTCCATTGCTTTCTATGACTAGTTGTTACTGATAAGGTATTTCATCTATCAGTTTACACATTTTTCTTTCGAAAATTTCCTCCATTCTTTTACATCTTCTTTTTCTAATTGTAAAAATATATCAAACACTTTTCCATTACATTCCACACATTTTTTTTTGTTCTTCCTACATAACCAAATTTAGTATTGCTATCTATTGATTGTATACTTTCATTAAACAATTATGCTACGAGCCATGCAATCAATAGTCCATATTATTTTAAGACGATTTAAATTCAATACAAACCATTTAGAATCTTTTCCTATTTTCTTCACTGATGGACATTTAAGATATAAATGCATTCCTATATAGCTAAAACAATCTTTAGTCGCTCTAAAGATGTGTAGTTTCGGTGAAAATACGGACAGTGAACTTACTGACTATGCTAGATCAGCGTTCACTAAAATATTGACACATCCGTACAGTACGAATATATCAGGTAAATCAATGAACGCAGAGATGATAACAGTACGGATTTCAGACTGGTTCCATCTCTGAGTGAACGTCAATGCGAGTTTTCGGTGAGCAGTTCACTGAAAACTCACATCCTTAGGCTGCTCTATTGGGATTGCCTACATAGTAAAAATAATTATAAAAATCTAGTATGACAATTTATATATGTTAATCTTGTTCATGCATTTCAGTACTAGTGTTAGCTAGAGAACTGAAACTAGAAAATGAAAGATCTTGGTTAGATATATACATATATATGTAATACAAATTGTAACCTTCTATGTCAAGAATAAATATAAAAAATTTGGTTGAAAATTTATGCTCAGTGATTATGGAACACCCTTTAAATATATATAACTCTACTTATATTTATTAATTTAGGATGATTTCGACATTAATCTTAGTGATAAGGAAGCAACACTCAAAAATAAGAAACTTAAAGAAGAATTAAAAAGACTAGAAGGTAAATCATGATTTTCTTTTACTTCTCTTATCATAAATGAATCTGTTTTTACAACTTATAGAAGAACAAGATCGAGTTTATTCATCATGGTCATGTGAAGTTTGTACATATATCAATGAACCATTTATTAAAACACGTAAAGATGTATGTGAAATGTGTGAAGGACCAAGCCCATTAAAACGACGTAAGAAAATCTATATATATACGTATATATATTATTTTTATTTTATTTATATTTTATTCTAGATACATTAACAAACTGATTAAAATGAACAGTTTTTGTATAAATTATTCTTTCCATATTAATCCGTTTTGTGATTGATTTTATTTAAACAAGTTGATAAACTCTTCTCTTATTTTTGTTTTCTTTTGTTTTTCTCTTCTTATTTGGTCGAAATATATTTATTTGAAAAGTTTTTGTGATAATCGTACTGATGGCGTTTATTTCGATTGCACTTTCGATCTTATTTCTTTGCTTTAACAATAATTCTTTTCTTCTTGTTTTTTTAAAATAAGAACATGAATATGTTAGATTTTTCTTTTCGTCCAACTTTTAGATTATAGATTTTAATTTAAATTATGTCATCAACATCAACAGATAATACAAATAATTCAACTAGTAATGATTTGCTAAAACATAATTCATCAGATTTGGCTCAAAAAGATGCTTATAAAGCTTCAAATAATTCACAAAATAATATAGATGATCTTTATGCAAATAATGAAATTCCAATGAATTTATTACCAGCTGGTAATTCATAGAATTTTTATTATTATTTTTTTCTTTTATAATAAAGAATTTTATTTGAATCTTGAGATTTTACAAATAACGATTAAAGAAAAATATATTTCTTTATATATGATTTACTTTTCTTTGCTGACGATTGCTTTCTAAAGAAACTCATATTAATGTATAAACGACCTGATTTTTTTTTACATGTTATTATAAGAATATTCTTAAGGCATGCAAACTTATTCATAAAAGGCTTAAAAGAAAAATATCTTGCGGCTAATGTATCCTATAGTATGACATGAGCCTTTTTTTTTGTCCTACCGATTTATTTACTTAAGAAAGTTACAATACTATTTAAGATAATAGTTGTTTTTATGCAAATCGAAAACGCATGACTGTCCATACGAGGAATAAATTAAGAATTAGAAGATTAAATATACTATTTCGTACATTATTAAGACGTTTTAAAATCAACATACATGCACATGCTGTTACTTCCTTTATATTCTACCCTTAGTTTCACTAGCAATCAAAACTCGCTTTTACTGCAAATTTTGCGTACACGGACCAACATATTCGAATTTTGATGTGTCATATGTCCACACTTCAAAATTCTAGTAGTATTGATTTTTCTTTTTTTCGTCATGGTTAGATTGTACTCGGCGAGTTATACAAGAAAAAAAAACAAAATCATAAATATTCAAAAGAGATTTTACAAAAAAAGTTCAAAATACTATTATTGTTAAATATAAGAGTAATAGATACAAAATTCTGACTGCTCTGAAGTTGCTTTTGAATATGCGTCAATGTGTTTTTTTTTCATGTAAATTACCGAGCGCTATCCAACCATGACGAGAAAACAAAAAATTAATATTGCTGTAATGTCGAAGGTGTAAACACATAACGTAGACTGTAAGTAAAGTGTTGGACAACATTTTTCATACAATTTTTGCTAATAGTACAGTTATTGTCTGTAGTATATCGATACAAAAATTTAACTCAGAAAGTTGAATCGTACACAAACTGAACTTATAACAGTCTGAGGTAGCCACTTTTTTGTATGATTTTAAAATCAAATTATTTTTCTTTGACCGTGTTTAGAAAAAAAAACAGAATCAATATGAATGAATAGAAGAAAACACGGACTATATTTCGACAATTGAATATCTCCGTATTTATGTGAAGAAATTGTTTTTTAACTACGGTATTAGATTATTTTCGAAGATTATCGCTAGTTTAAGAACCTTCTCCCAATGATTTAATATGATAGTTAAAAAAAAATTTCTTCACGCATAAATACAGAGATAAAGAGTTGACATATGTATCATGTCATATTTTATCTTGGAAAAGTTTCAATTGTCAAAATATGGTCCATGTTTACTTCTATTCGTTCATATGGATTCTGTTTTTTCTTTCCAAATATTTTCAGAGAAAAATAATTTGGTTTGAAAATCGTACGAAAAACTTTTGTACAGCACTGTACCTTGAAATTTGAATATCTCGGTCGATGTACACTATGGACAGCTCATATTTAATACTCGTTAGTTTAGCAGTGAAAGCATTCATTTGATTCGAATATAATCAATCTCCTTAAGTTACAGTACACGAACTTTGTATCTATGTTCCTGTATGTTTTTATATATTTTTTGTTGTTTTCATGAGAATAGAGATTCCGAGATTTGTAGCGTAAATACATGTAAATAATCACTTGAAAGATTAGTGTAATTTTTGTAAGATTGTGTCTTTGTGAAAATATTTACACATTAATCGTTTCAGCTTGAGTAATCATGCATGGATTTTTATGTGTAGTAATTGATTGATTATTGCTCATTACTGTTTTCACTATATTCGATTTGTTACTATTGTTAACATAAAAAAAAAAATTTGATTACGAAAAAAAGAATTATAATGACAAAATATTGATTGAATAAATAAGATTTTGGAAGATTTTTTTCTTTTTTTCTTTTGCTTATTTCCACACCAATAAAGTGTCATGTGCAGATTAATTATTGCTATGTATGCTTTTTATTGAAAAAGAAAATCTTTTTTTTATTTTTTTATTTTTTCTTCTAATTTAGACAAACATCCTTATTGGAATAATGTTCCAACAGGACGTACAAGTATTGAAGATCCTCCACAACTTGAATATGATGAACATCATATTGATTTAATAGCTGATCAAGGTAAATAATAATTCTTTTTTTCTTTCAAATCTATAAAAATAAATTAATATATCTTTAAAATAAATCTTATCTCTCATATTTTTTGTAAAGAACTCGATGATTATGAATTAGACTACGGTAAGAATAAAAAATGGTTTATTTTAAATTAGATTAACTAATAGCTAATGCTTTTACATGGGCATATAAATATATAATATTAAATTCTTTTTTGTTTTCTGTTTTAATTCTAATGCTTTTACTAATATTGGTTTATGCTCAATTTTTCTCTTAGGTGGTACCGATATACGGCAACAACTCGGTTTTGATGATCAACAAAATGATTTGAATTTTGGTGACGATGAGAATATCGGTGGTGGTAAATAACGCTTTTGAATTTACTGACCTTATTCTTTTTATTTTTGATTATTTGATAATATAATTTATTGTTTTGACATTTAGATCTATATGGTAATGGAACAGCATCGAATTCAAATAAAAGTCGAGGATTAATCAAAGGAACTATAACATCAGATGGTATTATTGATGATGATTTTGAATCGGAATTAGGAGGAAATGAACCAACAGTGAGTAAAATTTTTTCTTTTATTGTTTTAAAATGACACGAATGCTTAAGATGTTGATTTGGTTCACAGATTATTTCTAGCCATTTGATTGGTGAAATATGGCGATTTTTCTTAATAAGAAATTTATACAAAATTGTTAGGATTGAACTTTCATTGGATTTTCACTTGCTTAGTATTAATTCAGAACGAACATTCTTTTCTGCTTCGCTTCATATGACAATTATTATTTCTTCATTCAAAAAGTCCTAAATTGCACACATTATAGTCAGGACATTTTTTTTGGACTAGTTTTGAGTGTATTTCATGAGACTAATCTGACTTTTGACCAAAATCAATGGTATATTTGAAACCAGCACGAAAATCTAAATCAATCAATATACTTTTCAAAATTTGAAGAATAATTTTATTTTCTTCAAAAAATTCAGTTAAAATCTCCTTAGGATCACCACGCGTTGTTTACCCACAAATTTTAAACAACTACAGTGGCGTCTGACATCCAAAAACTCTAGATATCAGAAATGTCACGAGAGATGACAGACATGCGGCACAATTTTTTCTCATGGATATTCAAATATGCGTGTGGCTGTGACTTTAGAGAGGGCCGAAACCTACACTCATACGATTCAGATAGTTTCTTGAGTGTAGTTACACTTTTGATAGTTTCAGTAGTTCAGGACTCACGGAATTCGGTCACTATTGTCTATTAGAGTTAGGTGAAAAAAATGAAATGAGTTGAAAGACTGTTTTTATTGATTAACCTATTGTTCTGTTAAATTTTTTTAACTCTTGAGATTTACAGAATTTGTTTTTTACAGTCAGACTGGTGTTTCTATTAGATTCATTTTTTGATGTAAGTGTGAGTGAGATCTCGACTGAATTTTTCGACGAAAATAAAATTACTCTTAAAATTTTCAGAAAGTATATCGATTGACTCAGGTTTTCGTGCTGATTTCAAATATACCATTGATTTTGATCAAAAGTCAGATTAGTCTGATGAAATACACTCAAAACTAGTCTAAAAAGTGCTCTAAACGTAATGTATACACTTTAAGACTTCGAATGAAGTAATAGTAGTTGTTATGTGAAATGAGGCAGGGAGAAAATGTTCGTTGTGGGCTAATACTAAGCAAGTGAGGGTTCAATGAAAGTTCAATTGTAACAATTTTGCGTAAATTTATTACTAAAAGAGTCGCCATACTTCACCAATAAAGTAACTGAAAATATTCTTTGAGTCAAACCAACATCTTATGCGCACCTATCCTTTAATCAATATTTATTTTTATATAAAGGAATTACATGATACAGAAGATGTTGATTATCAATTAATGACAAAAATAGCTGAATATGGAATTATTGAATGTTGTGGTGATGATAAATTTGGTCGTAAAACAATTGTTTTTTCAGCATGTCGTTTACCGAATCAAGAGTTGATTAAAAACAGTGAATTTAAAACAGTTATTAAATTTCGTGAATGCTTATTCAAGTAAAAACAAAATGTTTATTCTCAACAACAAAAAAAAGAACATTTATTTTACTTTTTTCTTTTTAAATAAGATATTTTTTACAAGCATTTGATCAATATGTTGATATGGATTATGTTCTGATATATTTTCATTATGGATTACGTTCATATAATCGACCATCATATGGATGGTTAATGAAATCTTATCTTAAAATTGATCGAAAGTAAGATTTTGTTTTTTTTCAATATGAAATAAGAATTCTTTAAGTGATTGTTTATTTTTATTTTAGATACAAGAAAAATTTAAAAGCACTTTATGTAG